CAATCCCGTTGGACAAATCGATTGTAAAGACCTTACGACGTGCAAGCGAAAACCTCGCAGGGAATACAGGAAGTTCCTCGATTGCGATTGAAATAACTAAGTCAAACCAATTCATCAGCGCAGTGGCTGTCGTCACCACCTACTATTACCAATTATGGTAATGAACCAAATCAGCCTGGAGCCGGCCACTGGCAAACCGCTATAATAGGTGGCTAAGATAAGGTTAGGTTGCTCACTCGTGCCTCTTTTGATTCGAACACTATCTGGTCGACTTTTCGGCTTCTCTGTGGCGTTATCACAGCACTTGGCATGTCTTTGACGGTCGCTTTCAGGGCTGTACTCAAAAATTCATGGAAGATATCTTGGGTATTGCTAAGGTTTGGTAGCGCTAATCTCATCTCATTGTTTTGCTCTTGAATCCCAAGTTTTTTGAGAATTTTGGTGGAGAAGCCCGAAAGAAAAGTAAACAATGTACTCAATCCTGGAACAATGGAGCAACGGAATGAGGTAAAAACCTACCCTTACTATAAGATTGTGAACCACAATGTGCCCGGATTGGGTCAATAAGGGCTCAAACCACAGAAGTTCTGGAATTCATAGTAACCATTTAAAATACCACGAGATTCATTCCACTTCAGCGGTCAGCTGGGCAGTGTGCGGCTCCTTGTCACTGTTTACTGTTCATTGAGTGAGGCATTGATAGATACGCACCGCAACCGCCCGCGTCCCTTCATGTCACACTCATATAACCAGATATACAAGCCTTGCATCCCTCACACTCGCTTACTAATCTTCTTTACCAGGGGATTTCTACCCTTGCAGGGTGAAGTCAATAGAATTTTCTGCTGAAGGATCGGGAGTGTTCAGGTAATGCTTCTTCAATTGAGAATTTTCTGGTCTACTGGAATTCTCTTCGGGATTGTTGGAAGCTTTGAGGAGTCGATCTCAAATTTTCCACTTTGTTAGGCTCTGCAGAAGGCCAAGAGAGCCGAAACGTCAGCCTTGTTGAGCACTACAATCCTGGAGAGGCTTCAATAAACTATATTATAAAATTGAAAACT